CCACCCCGTGGAAGCAATGAGCTGGGAGTGTCCCTTCCTCTCTAATGCCCACAAGCCTCTCAGTGTTTTTTCCTGGGAGCGGGTGGCCTCTTTCATTGGTGCTCACAGTCCTATATGGAAAGCCCTTTCCCACCTCTATCATACTTCATGATTTTTTCCCCCTCTAACCCTGGAAAGATGTSACCAATCTCAACATAGCTTAGGATACTATGGTGAAAAATAAGGTGACCTTTAAAAGAAATGTTTATCTAAACCAGATAAGAAATTGACCCCCAATAAAGCCACTGCTGCCCTCCTGCATACTGATGCTCTCCCTGGACTACACACAAAGGAGAGTGCTCCTTGCTCCTGATGGACAGAAGAATGGTGGCCAGTGGAGAGGAGTATGGTCCCTGGGTATGGCCTCACCCCTTCCTCCCCACCCGCCCTCCTGAGGAACTCTACTTACAAGCAAGCCTCCTATGAATGGATAACCAGATTTTAACAGGGYGGARTACACCCAGGTAAAATGCTGAGAGAAGGGAGCAGATGCCAAAATGATCCCCAGGCTCAACACCATCACACCACACATGATCTGGATCGTCTGTTGGAAAAAGAAAGGAGGTCGAAGATTAAGCTTAAGTTTCTTAAAAGAAACAGAGAAGCCAGGTACAGTCATGCAAACCTGTAATCCAAGCAGCTGGGGAGGCTGAGATAGGAGGATCCTGAGTTCAAAGCCAGCCTCAGCAAAAGCAAGGTGCTAAGCAACTCAGTAAGACGCTGTATCTAAATAAAATACACAATAGGGCTGGGGAGGTGGCTCAATGGTCGAGTGCCCCTGAGTTCAATCCCCAGTACAAAAAAAAGAGAGAGAGAGAGAGAGAGAAAGGAAAGAAAGTGTGTTTTTATTGTAATTTGCAGTGAGAGAAAAAGACCCTCATCATTATATAAAATACATGTATGAAGATATGAATTTGGTGTCAACATACCTTATATATAATCAGAGATATGATAAATTATTGTATAATGGTATATTAATAATTGTAATGCAAAAATAAATAAATAAACAAAGGCAAAAAAAAAAATCATGGAACAGTGCTGGCCTAGCATGTGTGAGGCACTGGGCTTGATTCTCAGGACCACATAGAAATAAATAAAATAGAGGTCCATCAACAACTAAAAAAAATTAAATCAAAAAGTTAGTATGATTATTACGCATGTAATTGGTGAAAAAAATATAAAATGTGTAATTCTTTATAATAGATTTCATAAAAGAAATATTAAAAAAACACTGCACTTCAGAAATACAAAAAAAAAAAAAAACAATAAGTGAAGCAATCAAATTTCAACTACTGGTTTTCCAAATAAGAAAAACACAGATTAATCTTGTGAGGAAGTCCTGGGGAAGGTTTAAACAGCTCTCCACGTGACTCGCACTGGTCTGCAGATCAGCCTGTCATGCCTCCGGCAAAATGTGAATCTCCACACTCACAATGGATCTCTAGTAGCAAGACCCTCAGTCTCTTTCCACCACCCACCACCCAGCTCCCATGTGTCCTTCCTTGGCTTTACCCCAATGACTTTGACCTCTGCCTTTAGACGTTTCTTCAAGTTGTCCAGGTTACTATGGGTGGGTCTTGTATTCTCTGTTTGGGGAAAGTTGATGCCATTTGATGTGAGCACAGCCACATTTGCACTGGGCACAGGGTGTGAAATCATGATGGTGCTGCTGACACTGGAAGACAAAACAAGGCAGCTCTTGCAAGCACTGGACTCCCAGGTTCTGTCTCCCAAAACTATAGGAGAGGACTTGCCCCTTTGTCCAGATTTGGACCCCCCTCCCCTTTTTTTTAGGGAAAGAAACTGATAGTACTGAGCAGTGAAAACACAAAGCCTTGGTTTCCTAAGGGTTTTCCTGTCGTGTTTGACACTGATTGTACAGAATCAACACATCAAGGAAGGCCTGAGCWTGAATCATGAGAGAGGTCCCCATGTTCAGAAGCAAATGTTCACAGAAAGCCTTCAATATGTAGCCATCTCCCTTTCCCCTAGTCCTACCAACAACAACTGCATCGCTCGCTATGTGATGAATTTCAACCCCAATCTACCTTGCCAGTCATGATTTATTAGGATTCAGCCTTCTACCTTTATGCCATTCTTTGCCCATGGGTTGCACAAGTTGCCAATGGCCTGATGGCATTTGAAGAGAAAAATGTTCGGCTTCCATTTATCCTGTGACCTCAGCTAAGTGCCTCACCAAGATCATGCAGTCAGAAAATAGCAGAAAGAGTTAAAATCCCCTGTGCCCATAATGTCACAGCAAGAGCGCTGGGTTGAGAAGAGTCTTCCTGCATTGCCTACCTGTGCCCGTGGACCAGTGCCGTGGTCCCAGCTGACTCTCAGAAACCCCCAGGACGTGGTAACTCCRGGTTCTCCAAGTCTGATCAACAGTTCCTACTTGTCGCCTTCGGAAAGTCACCAGCCCTTCCTGAGCCCAGCGTTTACAGCTGCACAGGATGTGATGCTTGCAGCGCGGAGATTTGTGAAACGTGTCTGCACTTTCTGACTTGTGAACTTCTAGTAACTTCAGAAAAATCACTAACTGAATTGCCAACGTTGAGAGTCTGTAGGCGTCACAGAGCTTTCTGTGTGAATTGCCCCTTGAATACTTACTAGCTCCACACTGTTAGACAGGTCTCTGTTCTTGAAGTTGCATTTTTCTAATCGATACCAAAAGTTGGGTCCTTGTCCCTGATGCTGATCCAATAAGAAGGACAAGATTTTGAGAAAAGGGAAAAAGAAGTTTTATTGCTTTACTAGCAAAGGAGACTTCATAGTGCACATCCCACCCAAGAGGCTGAGATTCTAACTGCCTGGGGGAACAGTAACCTTTTATAGAGGAGATTCAAAGGCTACAGATGTGCCCTGTCAGGGAATATCATTCATTTGTAGCCTTAAGAGATACATCTGCAAGKGCCAGCCCCAAAGTTTGGATTCTTTCATTCCTGTGGTCTGTGAACCAAAGCTCAGATAACTTGGGCTGAGACAAGAATAAATGTCACCTTGTTCTCTCCATGGTTAGGGAGGGGCAGAGGAACAAGAGAAAAGAAAAAAAGAAGTATGTCACTTTTAAAAGAAGCCATAGTGGCAGAGCAGCAAGGGTTATATTCCAAGCGTGAAGTGGACCCCTGTTACATAAACTGTTAGAAAACAATCCTAGAAAATTGTTATAGAGATGACATAAAATATTTATGAAAGGCCTATACTGCTTCTAAGCAGCGTTCAATAATATGTCGCCAGTTCTAATAATAATATTACTAGTAATAGAAAGATGATAAATAATAAAGTATTTTGTATTATGTAGTTAACCATATAATAATAGTAATAATGCCTACGTAGCTTTCAAGGCACATTCAATAACATATGGCCACAAATAGTAACAATAGAACATAGAAAAATATTTTTGTTGTTTTGCTGTCTAAATATATACATATTTGTATTTATATATTTGTTTATCTATCTATCTATCTATCTATCTATATATATATATATATATATTTTTTTTTTTTTTTCTTTTTCCAATTCCACAACTGGAAGCAGACTTTCAGGTCTTGTTGCCTACTTGCTGCCTATTCTAAAGCCCCCTTCCTCCCCTGGCCACTTTCTCTACTAAGAGACTTCAGGAAAGGTTGGGGACTTCTATGGAAGTAGTGAAACTGGAAGAGGTACCGATGGGGAAGATTCAGGAAGACCTGAACCCGCTCAGCAAACACATGCTTAGAGTGGAGTGGTCTCCTGAGGACAGAGGTCCCTGAGAGCCTGCGGCCCTGCAGGGGGCTCTTCTCTGGAGCTGACTTTGAGGCACTGGGCAGGGGAACCCAAGCCAGCTGCAGACACAGCTGCCACAGCGTCCTTCCTGCTTTCCTTGGGGTGGGGGTGGGGTGCTGCCAGAAGGAACTCAGGAACACAGCATGAGCCACCGCTGTCCCCAGGGAGCAGTGGGCTCTGCATGAAGGAACCCCATTTAGAAGGTTGGCTTTGCCTTCAGGGCCAGAAGGACCAGAGGTGACTGGCTAGATAATTCCTTGTGGTAGGGGACTGCYCTGTGCTCCAGTAGATTGTTGAGCAGATTCCCTGTCTGCTACTMTCGAGATGCCAGCAGCAATCCCACCTCAGGTATGCCAAAGGTCCTCCAACAGAGGAGGRGCACAATCCCTTCACCCCATGTTGATAACTGTTCATCTGGAGATGGGTCTGAGAGAGAGGATGGATTCTCCCAGAAGTCTGTGGCAGGGGGCAGGACAGCCTCCACCCTCACCCTCCTGTCCACCCTCACCTCCCTGGTCTCCTGGTGCCCCTTCCACTTCCTCAGGTGCCCGCTGTCATTTCCCCATCACATCCTGCCCCCTTATTGCTATGGAACAATCCAGTGGGTTAGTGGGGTGCAGCTTTCCTCCTGAGYTTGACCAAGAAGGGGGTGGGCCTCTTAAGGGACAACCACAGCCACTTCCCTTCCAGGAAATTCATCAATAAACCAGTTGAATCTGCCCACCCTAGCAAAACCTCCCTCTTGCGACTGTTTCCTCTTTATCATAAATTTAAAAGAAAACTTAGAGAAGTTTGAAGGATTCAAACACATGTAATGTGCTCAGCACAGAATCCTGCAGAGTGGCCCAAAGTGGTCCATGTACTGCCTTCCCTTCTTATCTGTCCCACTTCTTCGTCCCACCTACCTCCCCCTCTGTCCCCTCTCCCACCCCTTCCCATCTCCCTCCCCCTCCCCATCTTTCTCCCCCTCCCTCTCCCAATATCCCTCCCCCTCCCCTTCCTTCACCCTCTCCTGTTTATTTTTTTCTTTTGGGGCTTCATCAACCTCTGAACAAGGCTCCTCTCTCTAGTGTCTCAGCTGAGTTCCATCCAGCGTTTATATTATCAGTTGTTTACAGAGTCTGAACCCCACCCACCTAATCAGGAGGGGAAAGACTGATATAATGATAACACCTGCTGATTAATAATCTARGACAGGGTTTCTCAAAAGAGGCTCCTAATAATCACGCATTGGCTAGATAATTCCTTATTTTAGGGRACTGTTCTGTGCTCCAATAGATTGTTTAGCAGGTATCCTGTCCGTTACTCTCTAGATGCCAGCAGCAATCCCACCTCAGGTATGCCACCCAGGAATGTCACCAAACATTGCCAAAGGTCCTCCAACAGAGGAGGAGCAAAATCCCTTCACCCCATGTTGATAACCATTAATCTAGGAACAAAAGGGTTTTCTATGACTTCTGTGTATCCGTGGGTATGTAAGAATCAGGATATTGTTTTCTTTAAAACAATTTCTTGATTTTGGCTTTTTAAACTTTTAGTTATAATTAAAAACTCACGTAATTCACCATCTTAACCATTTCAAGTGTAGAGTTTGGTAGTATTCGTTATAGTCAAATTGTGGCACAGCAGATCTCTAGGGCTTTTTCTCTACGGAAACAAAACCTTTGTCGCCATTGAACAAACCACGGGCTCTTTTTCCCGTTCTCCCTGACCCTGGCAACTGCTTTCTGCTTCCTGTGACCTCTAGGATGACTTGAGACACCTCTTGTGATCACGGCATTTATTTTAATGTTTTTGGCAACTGACTTGCTTCACTTAGCGCGATGCCCTTGAGTTTCGTCTATATTGTAGCATTTCTTTCTTTCACGTACATGCCACATTTTTTTTTTTTTTTTTTTTTTTACCCTTCAACAGATGCTTGGGTCATTCCACCTCTTGGCTTTTGTGAAGAACGCTGGAAAAAAAAACCTACAAGTATGCAAACATCTTTACAAAGTCATATGATTTATAGACCTTTGGGTATTTTTTCTTATTTTTTTAATGAATGTRTTTTCATTAGAGCTTTATGGTTACACACAGTAGTTGGGTTCATCCCGACAAACTCACACTTGCATGAAAACCGATTTGGGTTCATGATGCTCCCCTTTCCCCTCCTGGCCTCCCTCCCTGCTCCCCTTTCCTTCCTCTGYTCCACCAGGCTTCCTTTCACTCGAGACATCTGTTTTTTAGCTTTGATTTCTGAAGATTTATTTTATTCCTTTGAAATAGGTGTTTTTCTGTTCCTCTGTATGCTTGGTGCTCTTTTGCTGAGATTTACGTATTTAAAAAAAAAAAAAAAACTTTTCCAGTCATTACAGATTGGCCAATCATATAAGAGGAAGACTTCAGCAATCAGCATAGCTAGAGATTCCAGAGACCCTCAAAACCTTGAGGCCGGGGTGTTCAACCCTGGGATTAGATGTAATTGTCCAGTTAAAGAGATTTGCTGGCTTATTCTCTGGGCGTGTTTTCTCTTTCTCCTGCTGGTGTCTGGCTGAGGTGCTACAATCTCTCTAGAACTGAAACCAGGGTGCTCACCTGTATTCTTGGTACCCTACCATGGTACCCAAATTGTGCCAGTTCATGTCAGCGCTTGGAGTCAGGTGAGACAGAAACCAGGCCCCCAGACGACACCCCCAGAATGCAGAATGCTGGACGCGTGGTCCACTCATCTTGCCCTTCTGATGTAAATGTTTGGAGTTGGGTGCCAGGGTGACAAAGAGGCGAGGATTGGTAAAAGTGCCATGAACTTCACCACCCACCTCGATGGGTCTCTTCCTGGCTGCACTCTCCACCTGGGCGCTCGCTCCTTTGCCTCCTCCCTGAGTTCTTGCAAAGGCAGTTTGGTCCATATGTTGTTAAGTGAGAAACTTCAGGAGGAATGAAGGCTGGCGCTTCCTATTCCACGTCCTGCAGATGGCACTSAAGTTAATTTCTTGCTACTAGATCCCGTTTGACTTAGCTGGGAGCCACCCGTGTTYCTATGGCAAAGCCCAAGAACAAATGTTTATATGTGGCAATGAGGGAGTTAGGACTAATTTAACTGATCATTTAACTCTTCATACAACTCTGTACACAGGCTCCAAAAATAATACTCCTTATTCCTGTTGGTCCATGGGTTGTTCTTTTCCACCCTGGCCTTTCTTGGGCTAAGGATCTCTACTTGGAAAATAAGAAGGTCCTAACTTTTGGATCCCAAATAACCACTTGCCTATTTTGTTTGCTGGTTTTCTACCTAGATCCTGTTTCCCAGGTCCCTTCTGCATCTTAGCTTTTATCATCTACCCTTCAAACTTGCTTCTTCAAAACCACAGGAATCTTTTTGAATTTTTTTTGGTTGTTTKTTTTACACATCCCCAGCCCAATTTAGTATTTTATTTAGAGACGGGGTTTCACTGAGTTGCTTGGCACCTTGTTTTTGCCAAAGCTGGCTTTGAGCTCGCCAWCCTCCTGCCTCAGTCACCTGCCCAAGCTGCTGGGATTGGTTTCCATTTTGAGGATATCTGCCCTTTTCCTAGTTATCATCATCAGCTCCTCTATTCCAGGTCACTCTCCTAGGCCTACAGTAGGAACTCTTTTCTAC